GTAGTTAGTACAGACCCACCCTTCAATAACATCCTGGTTCCGTCTCTCTCTTTTCTCAGCTCCATGTCCCCCTCAGAACGTATCTGCCATTGTGCAGTGTGATTTAGGGTCTGTGCTGGTGAGTTGGAACCCAGCAGTGGATGCCAGCCAGTTCAGAGTTGAACTGGAGTCCGAGAGCACCGGTACGATCTCCTCCTGTAACAGCACAAACACACAGTGCTCCATCGCCCATCTGCCCTGTGGAGAGAGATTCAACCTCAGTGTGGTGGCACTGAGAGGCAGCTGTCAGAGTCAACCAATCAGTGACCTTTCCATCTCCTCAGGTTGGACACTAACACAAAAATACTTCCTCAAACAGATTACAATTGCCATATTTACCTAATGCACTTCATGTCTGATGTCTTCTCTTTACAGCTCCATGTATCCCACAGGGGGTCACCGGTACTGTGGACTGTGTTACTAACTCTGCATGGATATCATGGAATGTAGATAATGGTACAGAATCTTACACAGTGCTGGCTGTAAGGGATGACGGTCACAATTCCACCTGTAGCAGCTCAAACTCCACCTGTAATGTACCTGACCTGGGGTGTGGAAGGAGCTACACCTTTCACGTCACTGCCTCAAACGCTGTTTGTGTGAGCCCACCCAGCAACAGCTTTCAGCTGGAGACAGGTAAGTAAACCTGCAGTAGAGAGCTTTAGCCTTCTTATTTGAGACCATGTGTATCTCAGTCTTAAAGTATGTATAATCTCTCTCTCCAGCACCTTGTGCCCTGTCATCCATCCTGGTGGTGGCTGAATGCCACAGTTCTGTTATCATGGTACAGTGGCAGAGAGCTCGGAGTGGAAATTCTCTCTACATTGCCACAGCAGAGGATCAAGACCGTTCCCTCCTTTCCTGCAATAGCTCCGCTTCTTCATGCAACTTTACCAATGTGCAGTGCGACAAGGAGTACACCATCATTGTAGCCGCTTCGGCCAACCAATGCAGCAGCCTCCGCAGCCCACCGTACAAGATCAGAACTGGTACAACCATCAATATCATGTCATACCCATCTAATAAAACATGAAAAGATGTTTATTTTAGAAAGCAAACCATTAGCAATCAGTAACTATTCATGAGCAACCATCACTATTATTAGGGTTGGGAATTTACCCTTTAAAGAGGTGCGCTATTACTTTCTTAGGTGATCTGACTTTGAATTTTTACCTGATGGATGAAGAGAAAAAAACTTGCTTTAAAGAAGGGACCTGGGTCTTATCTAGGGACCACGATATCATGGACACCTGGGGCTGGGCTCTTTTGACTTGTTTTCTAGCCACTGAGCAACCACCCAGAAACACTAGCACTCACCTAGAAATCATATAGTAAAGTGCTAACAACCACTCAATACACCATAACATTTGCATTATGGGAGTTTTCTAGTTAAATAATTGCAACTGCATTCTGTAGACCAGGGTTGTACAATCCTGCTCATGGAAGACAACCTTCCTGTGGAGTTTAGTTCTAAACTGCCT